ATGATGAAAAGAATTCATGTGGCTTAAAAAATGACAAATTGATCCATTTTAAAGCAAAATTATTTACAGTTCACTTATCTGCCAAGACCCAAGGCCACTGGAGCAATTTACATGGACAACAGGAAATATTCCAAGTGCTGATGAGGTCAATGTCATTGGAGGTTGAATGAAAACCAGAGACTCAGATCCAAAACCCAGCAAAGGACGGCTCTGTGTCCTGTTGGTTTGTTTCTTGGGTTTTTTGTTTGTTTGTTTGTTTGTTTGCTTTTTGGTCTCTGTCATCATTTTTTTGATGGGTTGAAACTAAATGACTTTCTCCCAAAAGGCAAATGAAAGGAGTTAGTGCAGGAAGAAAAGCAGAAGTCCCAACTGGATATGAAGACGAACTTTTCCCAATGCCACGTTTTAATGGAATCCAAAACTATGCCAAGCGCAGTGGCGCACGCCTGTGATCCTGCAGCTCGGGAGGCTGAGGCAGGAGAATCGCAAGTTCAAGGCCAGCCTCAGCAAAAGCGAGGCCCTAAGCAACTCGGTGAGACTCTGTCTCTAAATAAAATATAAAACAGGGCTGGGGGTAGGGCTCAGTGGCCCAGTGCCCCTGGGTTCAATCCCTGGTACCAGAAAAAGAAAAAAAATGCACTGTCTTTGTTCTAGGGGGCGCCAAAGGGCTCTCCCCTGAGAACCTGAATCTGAGCTAAACTGTGTGGGAGGGGAGAGGGCGGGGGGCGGGGGGGGGGGATGACCTGGGTAAACTTACTCTGCCATCCCCCATTTACCAGTCTCTCTGCTTCCCTGGGGAATGGTGATGGGATCCGGTGATGGGATCCGTGGCCATGCTGGTGAGACACGTGGCCTTGGGGGAGGGGGAGTGGAGAGAAGGTTGAATGGCAACTTGGAGAGAGTGAAAAAGGCAGGATTCATAAAACTGAATGATTCAGGTGGGAATCGCTCAATGTGCACGTTCTCTACCGTCTTTGTGTCTCAAGGACTGGTTTTCCTTTAGCATCCCTTTGAAGGAAAAAGAGATGGAGTGCCATGAACAGAGGCCTGCTGTTATTACTTTCATCTTGCAAGGTTTGCTAGAGAGAAGTTGAAGACATCTCCTTGCCCGCCATCCAGGGTCCCTCCATGAAAGCTAGGTGTAAGGAGCTTTTGTATAAGTAGGAAGACTTGTCTCCTTTATACACTTTCTTTTATCCAATAATAGCTAAGTAAATAATCTGGTTTCCTATATCACTCAGGCTGCCAGGGAACTCCAAAGTATAACATAGCTCCATCACAGCACTGAATTTCATCTTCTCCTGACTTTGTGTGACTACTTGGTTGTTGTGACTGAGAGTGGAATAATTTTCATAAGGTGTACACTTGTCTCTGTTAGACTTCTGCCACACTGACTTCTCAAAATATATTCTCAGTAGACTTTAATTTTCATGGTAAAGATCTGTTCATGTGGTTACTCTCACCAGTTCCATGAAAGCAGTATTTCCTATTTCAATTCCCACTGAAAACCTGTACTGGGTGTGGTAGTAGAAGACACTCGGTAAACACTTGCTGATGGAGTGAATGCATACAACTTTCTGGGGAACTCTGACAATGAAGCCCTTTTCAATGAATGGAGTAATCAAGACCCTATTTGCCTATGAGCTTTAAAAAGAGCAATGCCACAACCATCGAGCATCGTATTTATTATTATTATTGCATTTCTAGTGCCTCACACCAAACCTGAGTCCTTTTTTTATATTTAATTGCTGAGTTGCTTAGGGCCTCGCTAAGTGGCTGAGGCTGGCTTTGAACTCTCGATCCTCCTGCCTCAGCCTCCCGAGCTACTGAGATTACAGGAGTGCATCACCATGCCTGGGTTTTGATAGGTTCTTAATACTAGTATGTGGAATAAATGGATGAACAGATGGGTGGGTAAGTAAATCAAAGATGAATGTATTTAAGGATGACTGTACATATGGATAGATGGACGGATGGAGGGGTGGTTGGGCAGATGAAGAAACAGAGAAAGAAAAAGTTGAAAAAGGAAGTAGGAGGAAAATCCAAGTGATGTGACTTAAAACACAGGGTCTGGTGTGACACTGGTCATTTTAAATTCTCAGACAGAACGTCCTTATGTGTGATTCAGACTGACAGTCCCAGTTAAGTAAGTTTGCAGTCAGGATGACTAAGTTGGGCCAGAGAATCTGTTTTCTAGAGAGATCTAAAACCCAACGGCAAATATCTCTTATTTTTTGTTTCTGTTGTTTGGCAGAGAAATCCCTGATATTATGGAAGTTCAGATATCAAATGAATACAATGTTATTAAGACATAGTCACTGTCCCCAGTGAGGCTATAAACCACAAACTCAACATCCACACTCAATCTAGTGGGTGAAGCAGCTTATTAAGAATAAACTTATGAGGAGGCTGGGGATGGGGCTCAGTGGTAGGGCCCCTATCTAGCAGGTGCGAGGTCCTGGGTTCAATTCTCAGCATCACATACAAATAAATAAATAAAATAAAGGTATTGTGTCCATCTACAACTTAAAAAAAAATTGAAAAAAAAATGCTTACAGGGATACCCAGGAGGGAGAATATGACATTCTGCTCTAATAAAGACTAACTAATTATTGCAAACATTAAAAAAAGAAAAGAAATGGGGTGTGAAAGCACGCAGAAGCTGTCCATCACACGAGGAAACCGATCAAGCCAGCAACCTCTAAGAAAAACACAACCCCCAAGCCCCCCGTCCTGGATTCCAGAACCACGTGCGCAGACCTGCTGGCAAATCCAAGCGAGTCACAACCCAGGCTTGTGATCATGCAGCCTGCCGAACTGGCCCAGTCGGTCCCAACCCGAGTGACTTTCAGGTCCCAGGGCATCCAGCTTCCTTGTGGATCCCCCACCAGAAAAATCCCATCCCCCTCTGTCTCTGTGGCAGGACATCACTGAGATGCCGACTGGGAGAGGGAAAGGGCTTCCCGCCCACCTGTGCAGAGCTCCCACCGATCACAGATGTAAGCTCCACTGCCAAGAGCACACCTTGGCTGACAGCCCCTGAATTCCTGCAGCAGCTGCCAGAGTGGACCAGCAATGCTGCCCAGACCGTCATCCCTGGGCTGGCACCGGAATCGGGGAAGGACAAGCCTCAAGTGTGGGGGTTTGTTCTTTCGGAACCCGGCAGCCACCACTCTGTGGCCCCGTGGTAATTAAGAGCCAGCAGACTGTGGCCAAAGCCGTTAAGAGAGCTCTTTCCCTAGGAAGGCAGCCCGAGTAATTGGCTGGCTGCTTGCTAATGACATGGCTCTTGCAAAATAAACTGGCTCCGGGGTGGGGGCGCCCACTGAGTTGGTGAATGCAGGCTCTGTACCTGTTTGAGACCCTTTGGGGGTTCCCCAGGTAATTCTGAAACACTATGGGGAAGATGAGATGCACCCGGATTTCAAAAATCCTTGTGCCCAGTAAATGTAAGTAGGATGCCAAACAGAGAGGGACACCTGGCTGCCTCTGGTCATGCCACCAGTGTCACACTGCTATGTGTCCCCAGTAGGCTTCTTGTCTGGGCTAAGCAGGGTGTTTAAAATAAACCCATGTCTCAGCCCAGCATGGCTGCAGGTAGGGGGGGAGAAAAAGACGGCTTGCACCAACCTGAGCTCGGGAGACACGTCTTCCAGACTCACTTCTATTTTTCTGAAGGCCAAATGGGTTTTTGACGACGGGCAAGGGACAGGGGGACACACATGCGCACATGCACACGCGTTAGCGTCTCTGGAGCTCCAGTGTGGACACGGACCAGCCCATCCCTGCCTGACACAGACTGACAGTGCCAGCAGCCCTGAAGTCGCCCTTCCCCATCACCATGGCACTATGCCAAGGGAATCACATCAATGACTGCAGGTTTTTCTCTCTGGAGAACTTAGGAGTGGGGCTCGGGGATGCAGGAAGCTCCCTCTCCCGTCTTAATAAACTTCTGCTTGGCGCCACCACTCTTAGAGACAGTTGGGAAGAACTGAGCCCAGCCCTGGAAGCATGCAAAGTTTTAAAGGTCCTTCTTTCCCCCCCCCGGGGGAGAATGCACGAAGCTGTAAATCTGCCCGTCCCCCCAAAATCTTTTAAGTCACCCTTCTGGATCCCAGTGCTAATGAACTGGGAAGCCTCTTCCATGCCGATCAATTACACGGAGTTCCAGATTTTGAATTTTTAAGTAGCATTTTAATTTGTTGTTAGTGCCCCCCGGAGCAAAAGCAGCAGACCACCAAGCCCAAACACCATAACCTCCAAGCCATTAGCTAACGTGTCAAGTAGGTAATGCATCTTCAGGGAAACCAGATTAGAAAGGACAGCAAAACATTGATTTTTTTTTTTTTTAAGAATCCTATACCTGCAGCATAATGCTGCTAAAGCCAGCCAAACAACAAAGGGCATTTCCACAGCTAGGAACTGTCTTATTCTCAGGGCTGGGGCCACGAAACCTGCTCCACCCGAGCATGGACATGCTCACGGGCAAAGGAAGCCTTCCTTAAACCTACGGGCTTTAGAATTTGTAAATAAGTCATCAATCCATGCACCAAAAAAAAAAAAAAAAGCTTTGGAAGAGAATGAGTAGCCATGTGAACCGGCTGGAAACACCAGTTGAGAGCAATGCTACCCAGGGAGCAGGTGGAGTCTTTTTCCAAAAGGAAACAATAGCATTTGTATGTAGCAAGTTAAAACCCTGCTCTGAAACTCATCTGCTGGAAGGAGAGTTGTGATCCCTCTGCACAGTGAAGGTACTCACATGCAATCCTTTATCTCAGCTCCTGCAGCTTTGCCCACGAATCCCCCACAGTTTACAAGATAAGCCCAAACCCCCATCTATACCAAACAGATCCCCAGAACTTAATCAAAGCAAGCCACCGGCTCCCGTCTCCGAAATGCATTTAGCCAAGGGAAGCCAGATGGAGCACACCCTCCCACCCCAACCCCCCGCGCCAACCCCCACCCCCCAAACAAGCACCAAGTAGCTGACAAGTCCTTACCGACTTTGGGCTCTTCTTGGGAACGGGCAGTCCTGGAAGAAAAAAAAAAAAAAAAAAAAAAAAAAGGAGGGGAGGGGGGAAGAGATCATTAGCATATAAATGTTACCTTTTTCTTAAAGAACAATCCCCAGGTGTTTCATGGCAACCTAGCCATCTGCAGAGTTAAGTCAGATTTTTCCCCAGCATCGGAGTTACCAGGCTGTTCATATCGAATCAAAGCCGAGGGAGGAGGGAGGCGACAGGCAGATCTATCTGCATTAGCTATGCTGAGTTGTACTGCAGCAGCCTGGAGGCTTGGAAAAGAAATTCACAGACCTCAGCGGCCTGGGAAATTGAACACTCGGACAGAATCTCAAATGCTCTTCTGGATTAAGAGAGACTTAACTTACAATTAAGTCCAGGATCTTTTCCTTTCCCCCGCGATCCACTTGTCAACGGAAGCAGACCAATCAGAATAGAGGAAGGGGTATATATTTAGTTTCAAAGGAGAGCATGGTTAAAATTAAAAAAATTTTTTCCATTTCTGTCTTTTTTTTTTTTTTCCTCTCTGTCTTTTAGAAGAGAAGCCGCCTTCTTGATTTGGATGAGCTCAACACCACAACAAAGACGGATGCTCTTTTTGCCAGAAGAAGGGAAAAAATAGGAGCCCAAGTCCAAGTGGGTCTAGGATCCCTCCCGATGAGCATCAGCTCCTGTCTGGATGCCTGTCAGTCAGTCATCCAGCCAACCTCCTCCTTGGCTTGTTAGAAAGACTGGGGCTCAGTCCAGCCCCCCCAGGGCAAAGCATGTCACTGGACATGAGAGAGAAAAATTACACACAGCTGAGGACAAAAAGAGACGCTATTGGAGAAAGAGTGGTTAGCTGTCCCCAAACCCTCTGCTTAGTGGGAGGGCACAAGCTGAAGTGGGGGGGGGGGGGACCAACCAGTGATCACTGCACTTCTAGAAAACTCAGTAGCAACTAGGGGGCAGGCTTAAAGGGAATGTGTCACCAGTGGAGTGTGAGAAAGAGAGGTGAGAAGGAAAAATAAGGCACATCTTGGGGTTTCAAAAGTGATCATTTTCACAAGCTGCCACCTTTATTTATTCATTTATTTATTTTTTCTGTCCCGGCAGGGGTTAGAATGCGAAAGGCAGATTCCATTTATATACCAAGTGACAGAGATACACTTGGGATCTGTGGATTCTGCAAAAGAAACTTCAACTTGTTTCTGAGAGCGATTCCTGTGCAGTACCGGGATGATGTCAACTCCTTGGGAAGTGACTTGTCAAGCCACGAGCCAGGAGAAGTTCAGCACAAGTAATTCCAGGCAACGGAAGTGGGCGAGGGAGGAGGAAATCACCCAGAGGAGCAATACGGGTGTGCCCACTGCAAGTGAAGCGTGACAAGAATCACTCCTGCTGAGATACTTTGGGGACAGTCTCCACGGAGGCTCCTCACATTGCCAGAATGAGGTCAGCACAGTCTGGCTCTGGGACTTTGGAGTCCATCAGGAACATTAGGTTCCTTGTTAAAAATGCAGAACCCCAGGCTCCAACCTCAGGGGCCCAGGAATCTGCAGTATTAATTAACAGCTCTTCCTAGGCAATCTGATGCAAGAAGTCTGAGGACCATATTTAAGGAAACTCTAGAAAGAATAATTCTTTTTTCAATTAAGGTAAACTCAGGCATCCCTCAGCATGTCACCCTAGTCCCCTCAATGCCTCAGTTTCTCCAGAGGTGAGATGGAAATAATAAATCTCACTTCCCAAGACAGTGAAGATAAATAAGGGAAAATGCTTAAAAAGCCTTCTTCTTCATCATCATCTTTTTGTAGTACCAGGGATTGAACCCAGGGTGCTTAACCACTGAGCCATATCCCCATCCCTTTTGTATTTTATTTTGAGACAGGGTCAGGCTAAATTACCTGGGACCTTGCTAAGTGCTGAGGCTGGCTTTGAACTCATGATCCTCCTGCCTCAGCCTCCCAAGCCACTGGGATGACAGGTGTGTGCCACCGTGCCTGGCTGTTTAAAAGCCTTCTACCTAACCCACCTCCAACATCTAAATCTCTCACCTTCCTTGGCCAAGTGACGTCATTTAAAAAGGAAATGGGTATGATTATCTTGCTCTAACTAGGGAGAACTCATCTGCTAAAGATATCAACGTATAAAAAAGACTTAGGAGAAATATTTCGCCTATAGACAACGAATTGAAAAATTCTGATATTTCTTTATTAATCTGAAAATAATCATTAGGCATATTCAGGTATATTCATATGATTTCCATAAAAATAATATGGATCACTGGATGCACTCAAAATTATATTATATTGCATGGTTCAATTCAGATAGCCCCCTAACTGAAGCATTCTTAAGTTAAGTAAAATAAGTCAGGTTTCATTACAGGTAGCTTTTACAGAACCTGACTCTGCCTGGGATCCTAATGACCTCATGTAAAAATATGCATTAGGAATCTCCACCTAGGTAGGTGGAGTCAGGGCAAGATGGTTTTAATCCACTGGCCAGTCTCTTACGATGTTCAGACCCAAACTAAAGGGCACTTTTCCTTCTCATCACAGAGATGCACATCCCATCCAAGATGCATTCAGGTGGACATTCACTACAGCATTGTTGGCAAACAGAAAACCTGGAAACCACTGGAAGGATTACATAAACTGTGGGGTGGCCCACCCATGTGTTCTTTGAACACTCTGCACTGGTTCAAAGAAATGAGCTCAGTTGACAGATAAGAACATTGAAGGTTGCCTGTGGTATACAACTGTCATCCCAGCGGCTCGGGAGGCTAAGGCAGGAGGATCAAAGCCAGCCTCAGCAACTTAGTGAGGCCCTAAGCAACTGAGTGAGACCCTGTCTCTAAAGAAAATACCAAATAGGGCTGGGGCTGGGGCTCCATGGTTAGGCGCCCCTGGGTGCAATCTCTGGTACCAAAACAACAACGACAATAAAAACACCAAAACCACAAAACACTTAAGGCCTCCAAAACATAATGAGGTGTTAAAATAGCAAGCAGCAGAATGCAGGTGCAGCAGGAGACAGTTGCCCACACATGCCTGGCTGTTTGGTGGTGAATGCCCCACCAAACATGACAGGGATGTTTCACCTGAAGCGAGGAGGGGAAGGGATCAGAGACACTAATTTAAGGCTACTTTAGCCTTATTTAGAATTCCTTTTCAAGAATATTGCATTCACTTCTCACTAAGGCAATAAAATATTAATTAGAAAATAAACATTAATCAATTAACGACCCTTCCACTGTTAACTACACAAAAATCAACCAGATATGGGGGTGTGGGAGAGTAGAGGGAAAAGGAAATGGAAAAGTGGGATCATGAATTGACATCAAATTTCATGCATGTGAGTTTGTTGCGATGAACCCAACTACCAGGTATGACTATAAAACTTTAATTAAAAAAAATGAGTAAGTAAGAAAGGGGCTGGGATTGTGGCTCAGTGATACTGCGCTTGCCTAATATGGGTGAGGTACTGGGTTCGATTCTCAGCGCTGCATGTACATACATTTTTAAAAAGTCAATCAACAACCCAAAACATATTTAATAAAAGAAAGAAAGACAATTAAAGTCTGTTTCTTCTAGGAAGACCAAAAGGTCTCAGATCAACTGGCCCAAGCTACATTTGACAACAAATACGAAAATCTTTTTTTTAATTGAAGAAGGCTTCAAAGTTCCTCTTGGTCAGCCATTTGCCCCAAACCTTTGTTTTTCAAAAGCCACCCACCTTTTTTTGCAGGACCCAAAAATGGGTTATAGCCACAAATGAATATTTAAATAGTTAAAATCAAGAGACTCCACTTGACTGCTCTTTAAAAAAAAAAAAAAATCAAACATTTGTTTTAGGCCCATATGGTCATTAAATCTTAAAATCTAATAAATATGAATGCTGGAACAAACCTCCTATTACAATTTATAATTTATTTTAGCCAGAACAATTCAGAAGGATTGAAAACAGCTGGGAGGCCCCAACGGAAAAGACTCAGAGGGTCACTGCTGGCCAAGATGGTCCAGGACGTAGGAATCACGGCTGGAGCTCTGGGTGGAATTAGCTGCAGGCACCCCGTTCCGGATGGGTCATGGGTGGCAGCATTAGCTGACCCTCTGGGGCACGTCCAGGGTTTTTCTGAGACAAATGTACTCTGTACACCCAGCGGCAGAGGGGCGATTGTGGCCTGTCCATCACCACACATTATCACATGGGAAACCCGAGGGCAGAGAAGGCACCGGTCTTAACGGGCCCCTCTGGTCCACCCTGGGGAAGGAAGGGGCGTTTCAGAAGAGGTGGAAGAAAGGGAGAAAGGTCCCTGGCTGACACCATCTGCTCTTAGCACCCAGATGACAGCAAATGTGACTTCTAAGGGATCCCAGAAAACGTTTACAGGGAAGTGCGCACGTTCAAAGCGTGAGTCCGGGTGTGATCGATGGAAGTGACAGAAGCTGGGGACCTCAGTTTCCAAAGTTCCCTATGAATGAGGTGTCCCTCCAGGGAGAACAAATGGCAGCTTCTCTGCTAGTGACGGGGACCTGACCAATGAACACGAGGAGGAGGCATCTCTCTCTTTAAACATCAAGACCATAAACTGTGCTCCTGAACGTGTTCTCCTATCACTAAGCGGCACAATGGTATTCTAGGTAAAATTATATAACGGTAGGGCACAAATAATTCATATGAAAAATGTATAACAGAATCCTAGGCATTTGCTAACAAAGACTCAAAGGCTATATACTTTATTTGGCTCGTGGGATTATGGGTGGCTTTATGACCTATTTGAATATCTTCTACAACCAGGAAAGCATTTATGATACCTGTAACTCACAGGTACCTACAGGTACCATAATAAACAAACGTCTATACTGACTTTTTAAGTAAGATCTATGCAACACGTTGCAGGACACTTTATTGCAGATTTAAATCTCTCAAGCCATCGCAGATCTCTGCATGTTTCAAGAGTCGCTTCTTTTCCCCAAGGAACACAAGTTTTTCAAGCCCTGTTTAGGTAGAGACTTATGACTCCCTG